TATCCAAGTAAAATATTGGCTTATTATAATTATGAAATTGAATATGTTAAAGGTAAAAATAATTTGATTGCTAATTATTTAAGCGGATGGAACTAAATTGTGGACAGTTTAGTATGAAGACAAGTAATAGTAAAAGTTCACCTAAAGAATTAACCCCACTAGATTGAGTAATTATGAAGGTAAATATTCTTAAAATAAATATAACCCTTCTGGCAAGCCAAGTAAATTACAGTATCCAGAATTTATCTGGTTCAATATCTCAGCTCTCAAGCCAAATAATTTAACAAGTAAGGTGGATTCAATAATGAAAGAACCACTAATACCGGTAAAAAGATCAGTAACTGATGTTTCCACCTAGACATTAGAAGTCCAAAAATATCAACCTCACAGTCCAATTTCTAGACAGTCTCCAATAAGTATCTTTCACAGAAATAGTAAAACAAGCTCAAAAAGCCCAAGTCCAAGAAAATCCAACACCCCCAAAATAGTCCTTATACTTCTACCTCTTATAAGAGAAGCTTACCATTATCATCATTTAAGACCCTTGATCAATATAATTTTCTTAAACCTCTTATATATAAAACCAACTATTTCCTACTTCCTAAATCCAATAATATCAAATATGTTTTCCATTATTCCTTCAATAAAGTTATCATATACCCGAGAACCTCTCTAGAACTTGTAAAAACCTTATTCAGTTATGGATTTGTGCATTTAATATACCCATCTAGTGATATGTTAGAAATATCTCAACTACCAAAATCAATCAAGAAGCTGCAAAACATTATTTTGGAATAGTGACCCAATACCGAGTTTATATTAGATGTTATTCAACAATAGCTGAAATAACTCTAGAAAAATTTTATCCTCCAATTAACCTTATCAAGTTTGGAACTACAAAGAAACATTTTGAATATGAAGAAGAAGAGAAAGAAGATATAGAAGATGATGAAGATTTTCAATGCAAAGTTTCTACAATCAAAGCTCAAGAATTTAATATTATATTCTAAGAAATGAATAGGACAATGACAACAGACGAAGCCTAATGGACAGACTTTATAGGCCCAACTACATATATATACTTAGTAGGAAAAAATAGCAGAATGGCTAGAAATTTTAATCAATGGTATGAAGAAATAAAAAGTAATTACATGGAGAATCAGAAAACACCAAGAAGAAGATCTGTTAAGTATTATCCGAATATGTAAATCATAAGTGTAAGTATTGTGATGAAAGAAGAATCTCAGAAAAAGACTGTGAAGACTCTACTATTAATCTAAACATTTTGGAATAATCTGCCGATAGAAGATAAGAGTAAATCTGCTGACAAAACAAAGCAAAAAAATAGATAGCTGAAGCATGAAGACAAAAGAAGAAAGTAGCACACAAGATAAAAAGGAGCCGAAAGTACCAGACAAGATAAAAAGAGCCTATAAGATAAAAAGAAATGAGGAAAACAAAGAGAAAAGTAGCCAAAAAGTATTTTGTGTTGGCGACACCGGCGGCAGACGTGTACAGCGAACTCCTGATTGGTTGCTTGAGTCGTGCCCAGAAGGACACTGTCCTTAAGAATTATTCCGGCACACCCTCCGACGTCCGGCAGTTCCTTAGGATTAAACAAGCACCTCCTCGCTGGAATGAGGGAACAGAACAATGGAGACCAAACGTAGGCACAGACGAACACGGACAGATTTACAGAGGGAGGAAGAGAGAACCCCGAAAACTCAAGAGGCTTGTGTTTCGCTCTGTCTGCACCCATGGCTATATATAGCCCGAAGGTGGACATGAACGTTGAGGGGGTTACCACCGGATTAAAAGCTCGGTTACACTCTCATAAAAATTGTTTAAAAACTTGTCTGGAAACGTTGGGGTTACACAAATGTATGTAAAACGCATTCAACCTCCTGTCTGGAAACGTTAGGAAGACAAACGTTTAGAAAAATTAATTTGTTTAATGATCAAAAAAACGTTCTTGGTTTGATTTCAAATTCCAGACAGCCAAAATTTGAGTTTCTCCAGCAAGCCAAAATAATTATTTATTTGTAAAAATAATTCGGTAAAAGGAACCCACTACCTCTTGAACTCGCGCGCAGGGGGGTGAATCGGCTGATTTCAACTGCGATTGCCCTGAGTTGGCCTGTCTCATGTGCGCGAAGCCACTTCTCTTCCAAGCCCATTTTACGAGCTCTCTTCATTCCTTAGTATATATACACTAGGAGAGTCTTTCTTTTAATCAATGTGAGACTTTGACACACACACACTTTTGACACACATACAACATTTTGTCTATTGTAATTATTTTTGAAGATCATAGTTAGGTTAATGTAACTAGGGTTAAAATGTCAACTCTATATAAAATTATGTAATCTTAGTTATAGAGCAAGCTTTCTTGTATTGAGTTCAAAGTTTTCTGAACACTGTTTTCTCACTATCAATAAAATATCTTCTTTCAATTACTTTCATATCCAACAATTCAACTATTTGAGCAAGTAATTCGGGCATGATTTATGAGTAATTTTTTATTTAGATATTAAGGAGGGATTATTGTCTGATCCTTAATACAATGATAGTTTTGTAATGATTCTTTAAGGGGATTATTAGTTGTATGCTACCATAGTTATGCCTCTTGTAGAAAATGAATGAAGGCTGTACTGAAATGATTTGAAGAGGGAAAGGTATGCGCCGGATTGAAGTTCTAGCCTAGTAATTCTCTATATGAAAGAAGACAGAGACCCTTTCATAACTCGAGTCATTATTGGTCAAACCCTATGGTAGGATATAGCTAGTCTGTTTATATTTTTAATAATTAATATAGCATATAAATTAATTTTATTTTTGATTCAGTCCTTAAATATATTAGTATTAAATTATTATACTATATTATTTTAATTTTAGTTTAAAATTTTAAATAAGGTGAATTTACGTGTCAAGTGAAAAGAGATAATCAAGTTCGGGTTCTAAATAGAGAATTATTTCCTATGAATTGTTTTAACAAAATGTTGAAATTTAAAAATAAATAATTTTTAAATAATTTAAAAGGCTGTATTATTTTATAAAGATTTTATAAAAAAATAGATATTATTTATTTTGTTGCAATATTTAAAAATAATTATTATTTAGTTGTTTTAAATTGGATTAAGGTGCATTTTTGTTTCTGCATTTTCTTTCCAAGAGTGCCAAGCATCTTTTACTAATAAGTAAGACATTTTCTTCCTAAATCATTTTTTAGAGGAATTGAAATCTTTTTCATTAGTGATCCATTAATAGAGGGAGATTTTATTTCTCTATAGAATGATTTAGAGAAAAATGCCCACTTATAGTATAAAGTGCCTAACTTTCTTCAAAGAAAGGTACATAGAGAAAAATGCACTTTAACCTTTTAAAATATACAAAAAAAATATTATGATTTTTCTCAAGTTCCTAAAAATTTTTCAAACATTAATGATTTTTTTATGAAATAACTAAAATACCTTCAATTTAAAATAAACATATTAGTGATTAACTTTAGTTTAAATAATGATTATTTTTCTTCCAGTAATGACCAGAATGAAACAATAAATTACAACTTTGCTTATGCAAATTTTTGATTCACTAAAATCTAAGTGTTATAAATATCCTTTACATTCCATTCTGGCTATTACTTAAAAAAAAAAAAGAGAGCAATTATTACTTAAACTAAATTAGTCTCTAATATTTACTTTTAGATTAAAGTGCATTTTTAACCATGTACTTTCCTTTCATAAGCACTGAACACTTTATATTAATAAGTAATGCATTTTTTTTAAATTAGTTTTTAGAAGAGCAAAACTCGCTTCCATCAGTGAAGGAAAATTTTTGCTCATCTAAAAAATGATATATGAAAAAAATGCCTTACATTTTAGTATAGGATGCCCAACATTTCTCAAAAGAAAGAATAGGGGCAAAAATGCATTTTAATCTTTTTAAATTTTATGATATCTTTTTTTATATTTATTTATGAAAAATAGTTTATTATTTAATTATTTTACAATTTTATTATATATTTATTATTTTTATGACATTTCCTCTTATTTACCATATTATGTTATCTCCAGAAATTTTTAAAATAATCAGAAATTTATTTATTTTTATATTTTGATAGAAACTTATTTTCTTTTAAATTTTGATCACTTTAAAATTTTAAAATTTTTTATAAAATATAATTCTTCTGAAATGTTTAAATAAATGAACCCTAAATATTGTATAAACAAGATTTAAGAATAAAAAAATATTGCATTAATAAACTTTTTTAAAAATACCTTTGCTAGAAAAATTTTATAAACAAAAAGATTTAAGAATAAAAAAGTTATGGGAGAGAAAAACATCTGTTTATAAAAAAAGGCATCTTTTTTTTTTGGCCATCGTTTATTAAAAAAAGGCATCACCTCTCGAATAATATTTAAGCAACGCTTTTTATTTTTTTTTAAAAAAAGCAACACTACCTTTATATGGTAATGTTTTAAAGAAATTTAATATTTCAGATATTGTTTTAAATTTTTTAAAAAGATGCAATTTTTTTCTTAGGGAAGAATGCTCCCTTTGATTTTTTTTTTTGACGAAACTTCCTCTTTTAAATGAGAATTTCTGTTTAGGCCAGATTTTGATTCCGAACAAAATTGAGTTGCAAAACATATTTTTGAGGCTTGTAAAGAGAAAAAAAAATAGCTGCCCAGGTCATTATAAAAAAAGAAAAATATAATTTTTATTCTTATAATTTTATTAAATTTTATTTTTAATTCCTGTAAATTTTTTAGTGTTTGCAGTCAGAATAAAAATATTAAAAATTAAAATTATCGATATTTAAAAAAATAAAAATTACCAAATCGTTCTGAATTTTTAAAAACTGAAAATATGAAAAAAAATTACAGAAACTAGCAAAATTTAATAAAAATGCTACCACCGACATTATGATATTCGCTTGCCACGCACGCTCCTTTGTACAATCCCTAATCCCTAATTAAACCCGCCCCCGTTGTACAAACCCTAACATCCAACGGTCAAGTGACTGGCGGTTCTTGCGCACAGCCATTGACAATAGGGCTCCTCGCACACTGCTCCCCAGGCGAGACACAAGATCTAGTACGGAGCGGGTCTACTGAGGATAAAGATGGGTTTTTACGCGAGCAAGAAGGATGCAGTGCCCAAGGAGGCTGCCACCTCATAAATAGCAGCGGCATCGGAAAGCTCAAAAGGCTGCCAATTATCTTGCGAATGGAGTCGGTGAAAACCTGATACTTGACCGTATGTGCACCGGTGTCCTCTGTTCACATGCTCTTTCGAGGGATGTTCGGGTGAGTTCTTTATTTGTTACCCTCGAGAATGATTTAATAGAAGATACTGCCCTTGTTGTGCCCTTCTGGATGATTTCTTTAGTTATAAAGAGAAGGTCTTTCGATGCTGGGTGGTTGGTTAGCATGTGTGTCGCCCTAAGTTCAAGGTTATGAACCTTTATTTATTCCTTGAGGAAAAGAGAAGTCCGTTTTTGTTTGCTAGTAACACGAGCGAGATTCTTCTGAAGTAATCAATTATGAGGATCATATACCTGTTGAAAGAGCAAAGCGTGGAGATTTGATCTTGTTGCGTTAATTAGCTGCAACCGTAGGGTTCTTGAGACTGAATGATAGCCACGGTGACCGTTATTGTGTGTGCATGACCATTTTAACCAATATGTTTCAAGTGAATTCTTCTGGTTATATATGATTGAAAAGGCCAAGAGGGCTGTTGCAATGAAATTATCATTTCTTGTAAATGATTATCCAATGTGAGCCCTTGGAGAGGTAGAGCATGACATTGGTTTGTGTTATTTTTGCTAAGGTGGCATGTCCTTTAGGACATTCGATGAAACATTTGATTTAACCTGTGCTTAAATTTATAACATTATTTAAGTGTAATTAATCATCTCGAATAGTTATTTAATGTGACAGCAGTGAAACAGAGATACGTTTTGCATATTCTATATATTTTGTAGTATCTAAAAATTGTATTGTATTTAACTCCAATAATGTGTGAGATTTGACAGGATTTCGTTTTCTTTGGCCTTGACTTACAAAGTAGTCGTAATGTTCATTAAATGCAGGACTTGAGTTCTATCAAAATGGGATATGTGTACCCTTGGAGAAACAACTGTACTTTAATTTGAAATTAATTGTTTTGCCTTGGGATACTTAATGCACCCGTACAGGGATCAATGACGTTTAAATGTTTTGATTCCTAATCTAGATGTGCATAAATATATATTTAGGGGATTACTTTTTCCTTTCAGTTTAGACTACTGTGCATATGTTGTTGCTTGTAGTCCCCTAAAATATGTGTACTTATATCATTCATTGCTTCATCTAAATGCTTGTATAGAAATGTGCGTAAATTGAGACAAATTATGGAGGCTTGAAATTGACATGCAGAGTTGCAATGATATTCCTTGCATTTTTGTCTTGTGCCTTATCTATGAAAATCTAAATGTCCAGAAATATTTTTTTACAGTGACTACTTTTTCCTTCCAGCTTAGACTATCTGTGCCTATGCTGCTTCTTGTAGGCCCCCAAAATGTATGCTGCATGTGTCATTCATGGCTTCTTTGCTTGTATTGAAATGCGGGTAAATTGTGGCCTATGTGGGAGGCTTGACATTACATTGACATGCAGAGGTGCAATAATATTCCTTGCATGCATGTCTTGTGCAATATTTTTCAAAATCAGATATGTGGCTCGTGAGACAATTGATGGTACATGATTTTATATATAGACAGCTTTGCTGGGCGTTTTATCATGCTTCTTAATGCACTGGGACATGGCTCAATGACAATTATGTGATCTGATGCCTAATCTAAATGTGCAGAAATACACTTATATGGGGGACTACTTTTTCCTTTCAGCTTAGACCATCCGTGCCTATGGTACTTCTTGTAGTCCCCAAAATATGCGCCACATGTACCATGCATGACTTCATCTAAAAGCTTGTATCGAAATGCGGGTAAATTGTGGCCTATGTGGGAGGCTTGACATTACATTGACATGCAGAGGTGCAATAATATTCCTTGCATGCATGTCTTGTGCAATATTTTTCAAAATCAGATATGTGGCTCGTGAGACAATTGATGGTACATGATTTTATATATGGACAGCTTTGCTTGGCGTTTTATCATGCTTCTTAATGCATTGGGACATGGCTCAATGACAATTATGTGATTTGATGCCTAATCTAAATGTGCAGAGATACACTTTTATGGGGGACTACTTTTTCCTTTCAGCTTAGACCATTCGTGCCTATGGTACTTCCTGTAGTCCCCAAAATATGCGCCACATGTACCATGCATGACTTCATCTAAAAGCTTGTATCGAAATGCGGGTAAATTGTGGCCTATGTGGGAGGCTTGACATTACATTGACATGCAGAGGTGGAATAATATTCCTTGCATGCATGTCTTGTGCAATATTTTTCAAAATCAGATATGTGGCTCGTGAGACAATTGACAGTACATGATTTTATATATAGACAGCTTTGCTGGGCGTTTTATCATGCTTCTTAATGCACTGGGACATGGCTCAATGACAATTATGTGATCTGATGCCTAATCTAAATGTGCAGAAATACACTTATATGGGGGACTACTTTTTCCTTTCAGCTTAGACCATCCGTGCCTATGGTACTTCTTGTAGTCCCCAAAATATGCGCCACATGTAGGATGCATGACTTCATCTAAAAGCTTGTATCGAAATGCGGGTAACTTGTGGCCTATGTGGGAGGCTTGACATTACATTGACATGCAGAGGTGCAATAATATTCCTTGCATGCATGTCTTGTGCAATATTTTTCAAAATCAGATATGTGGCTCGTGAGACAATTGAGGGTACATGATTTTATATATGGACAGCTTTGCTTGGCGTTTTATCATGCTTCTTAATGCACTGGGACATGGCTCAATGACAATTATGTGATTTGATGCCTAATCTAAATGTGCAGAGATACACTTTTATGGGGGACTACTTTTTCCTTTCAGCTGAGACCATCCGTGCCTATGGTACTTCCTGAAGTCCCCAAAATATGCGCCACATGTACCATGCATGACTTCATCTAAAAGCTTGTATCGAAATGCGGGTAAATTGTGGCCTATGTGGGAGGCTTGACATTACATTGACATGCAGAGGTGGAATAATATTCCTTGCATGCTTGTCTTGTGCAATATTTTTCAAAATCAGATATGTGGCTCGTAAGACAATTGACAGTACATGATTTTATATATAGACAGCTTTGCTGGGCGTTTTATCATGCTTTTTAATGCACTGGGACATGGCTCAATGACAATTATGTGATTTGGTGCCTAATCTAAATGTGCAGAAATACACTTATATGGGGGACTACGTTTTCCTTTCAGCTTAGACCAGCCGTGCCTATGGTACTTCTTGTAGTCCCCAAAATATGCGCCACATGTAGGATGCATGACTTCATCTAAAAGCTTGTATCGAAATGCGGGCAACTTGTGGCCTATGTGGGAGGCTTGACATTACATTGACATGCAGAGGTGCAATAATATTCCTTGCATGCATGTCTTGTGCAATATTTTTCAAAATCAGATATGTGGCTCGTGAGACAATTGATGGTACATGATTTTATATATGGACAGCTTTGCTTGGCATTTTATCATGCTTCTTAATGCACTGGGACATGGCTCAATGACAATTATGTGATCTGATGCCTAATCTAAATGTGCAGAAATACACTTATATGGGGGACTATTTTTTCCTTTCAGCTTAGACCATCCGTGCCTATGGTACTTCTTGTAGTCCCCAAAATATGCGCCACATGTAGGATGCATGACTTCATCTAAAAGCTTCTATTGAAATGCGGGTAACTTGTGGCCTATGTGGGAGGCTTTACATTACATTGACATGCAGAGGTGCAATAATATTCCTTGCATGCATGTCTTGTGCAATATTTTTCAAAATCAGATATGTGGCTCGTGAGACAATTGAGGGTACATGATTTTATATATGGACAACTTTGCTTGGCGTTTTATCATGCTTCTTAATGCACTGGGACATGGCTCAATGACAATTATGTGATTTGATGCCTAATCTAAATGTGCAGAGATACACTTTTATGGGGGACTACTTTTTCCTTTCAGCTGAGACCATCCGTGCCTATGGTACTTCCTGTAGTCCCCAAAATATGCGCCACATGTACCATGCATGACTTCATCTAAAAGCTTGTATCGAAATGCGGGTAAATTGTGGCCTATGTGGGAGGCTTGACATTACATTGACATGCAGAGGTGGAATAATATTCCTTGCATGCATGTCTTGTGCAATATTTTTCAAAATCAGATATGTGGCTCGTGAGACAATTGACAGTACATGATTTTATATATAGACAGCTTTGCTGGGCGTTTTATCATGCTTCTTAATGCACTGGGACATGGCTCAATGACAATTATGTGACCTGATGCCTAATCTAAATGTGCAGAAATACACTTATATGGGGGACTACTTTTTCCTTTCAGCTTAGACCATCCGTGCCTATGGTACTTCTTGTAGTTCCCAAAATATGCGCCACATGTAGGATGCATGACTTCATCTAAAAGCTTGTATCGAAATGCGGGTAACTTGTGGCCTATGTGGGAGGCTTGACATTACATTGACATGCAGAGGTGCAATAATATTCCTTGCATGCATGTCTTGTGCAATATTTTTCAAAATCAGATATGTGGCTCGTGAGACAATTGATGGTACATGATTTTATATATGGACAGCTTTGCTTGGCGTTTTATCATGCTTCTTAATGCACTGGGACATGGCTCAATGACAATTATGTGATTTGATGCCTAATCTAAATGTGCAGAGATACACTTTTATGGGGGACTACTTTTTCCTTTCAGCTGAGACCATCCGTGCCTATGGTACTTCCTGTAGTCCCCAAAATATGCGCCACATGTACCATGCATGACTTCATCTAAAAGCTTGTATCGAAATGCGGGTAAATTGTGGCCTATGTGGGAGGCTTGACATTACATTGACATGCAGAGGTGGAATAATATTCCTTGCATGCATGTCTTGTGCAATATTTTTCAAAATCAGATATGTGGCTCGTGAGACAATTGACAGTACATGATTTTATATATAGACAGCTTTGCTGGGCGTTTTATCATGCTTCTTAATGCACTGGGACATGGCTCAATGACAATTATGTGACCTGATGCCTAATCTAAATGTGCAGAAATACACTTATATGGGGGACTACTTTTTCCTTTCAGCTTAGACCATCCGTGCCTATGGTACTTCTTGTAGTCCCCAAAATATGCGCCACATGTAGGATGCATGACTTCATCTAAAAGCTTGTATCGAAATGCGGGTAACTTGTGGCCTATGTGGGAGGCTTGACATTACATTGACATGCAGAGGTGCAATAATATTCCTTGCATGCATGTCTTGTGCAATATTTTTCAAAATCAGATATGTGGCTCGTGAGACAATTGATGGTACATGATTTTATATATGGACAGCTTTGCTTGGCGTTTTATCATGCTTCTTAATGCACTGGGACATGGCTCAATGACAATTATGTGATTTGATGCCTAATCTAAATGTGCAGAGATACACTTTTATGGGGGACTACTTTTTCCTTTCAGCTGAGACCATCCGTGCCTATGGTACTTCCTGTAGTCCCCAAAATATGCGCCACATGTACCATGCATGACTTCATCTAAAAGCTTGTATCGAAATGCGGGTAAATTGTGGCCTATGTGGGAGGCTTGACATTACATTGACATGCAGAGGTGGAATAATATTCCTTGCATGCATGTCTTGTGCAATATTTTTCAAAATCAGATATGTGGCTCGTGAGACAATTGACAGTACATGATTTTATATATAGACAGCTTTGCTGGGCGTTTTATCATGCTTCTTAATGCACTGGGACATGGCTCAATGACAATTATGTGATCTGATGCCTAATCTAAATGTGCAGAAATACACTTATATGGGGGACTACTTTTTCCTTTCAGCTTAGACCATCCGTGCCTATGGTACTTCCTGTAGTCCCCAAAATATGCGCCACATGTAGGATGCATGACTTCATCTAAAAGCTTGTATCGAAATGCGGGTAACTTGTGGCCTATGTGGGAGGCTTGACATTACATTGACATGCAGAGGTGCAATAATATTCCTTGCATGCATGTCTTGTGCAATATTTTTCAAAATCAGATATGTGGCTCGTGAGACAATTGATGGTACATGATTTTATATATGGACAGCTTTGCTTGGCGTTTTATCATGCTTCTTAATGCACTGGGACATGGCTCAATGACAATTATGTGATTTGATGCCTAATCTAAATGTGCAGAGATACACTTTTATGGGGGACTACTTTTTCCTTTCAGCTGAGACCATCCGTGCCTATGGTACTTCCTGTAGTCCCCAAAATATGCGCCACATGTACCATGCATGACTTCATCTAAAAGCTTGTATCGAAATGCGGGTAAATTGTGGCCTATGTGGGAGGCTTGACATTACATTGACATGCAGAGGTGGAATAATATTCCTTGCATGCATGTCTTGTGCAATATTTTTCAAAATCAGATATGTGGCTCGTGAGACAATTGACAGTACATGATTTTATATATAGACAGCTTTGCTGGGCGTTTTATCATGCTTCTTAATGCACTGGGACATGGCTCAATGACAATTATGTGATCTGATGCCTAATCTAAATGTGCGGAAATACACTTATATGGGGGACTATTTTTTCCTTTCAGCTTAGACCATCCGTGTTGTAGTCCCCAAAATATGCGCCACATGTAGGATGCATGACTTCATCTAAAAGCTTGTATCGAAATGCGGGTAAATTGTGGCCTATGTGGGAGGCTTGACATTACATTGACATGCAGAGGTGCAATAATATTCCTTGCATGCATGTCTTGTGCAATATTTTTCAAAATCAGATATGTGGCTCGTGAGACAATTGATGGTACATGATTTTATATATGGACAGCTTTGCTTGGCATTTTATCATGCTTCTTATTGCACTGGGACATGGCTCAATGACAATTATGTGATCTGATGCCTAATCTAAATGTGCAGAAATACACTTATATGGGGGACTACTTTTTCCTTTCAGCTTAGACCATCCGTGCCTATGGTACTTCTTGTAGTCCCCAAAATATGCGCCACATGTAGGATGCATGACTTCATCTAAAAGCTTGTATCGAAATGCGGGTAACTTGTGGCCTATGTGGGAGGCTTGACATTACATTGACATGCAGAGGTGCAATAATATTCCTTGCATGCATGTCTTGTGCAATATTTTTCAAAATCAGATATGTGGCTCGTGAGACAATTGAGGGTACATGATTTTATATATGGACAGCTTTGCTTGGCGTTTTATCATGCTTCTTAATGCACTGGGACATGGCTCAATGACAATTATGTGATTTGATGCCTAATCTAAATGTGCAGAGATACACTTATATGGGGGACTACTTTTTCCTTTCAGCTTAGACCATCCGTGCCTATGGTACTTCCTGTAGTCCCCAAAATATGCGCCACATGTACCATGCATGACTTCATCTAAAAGCTTGTATCGAAATGCGGGTAAATTGTGGCCTATGTGGGAGGCTTGACATTACATTGACATGCAGAGGTGGAATAATATTCCTTGCATGCATGTCTTGTGCAATATTTTTCAAAATCAGATATGTGGCTCGTGAGACAATTGACAGTACATGATTTTATATATGGACAGCTTTGCTGGGCGTTTTATCATGCTTCGTAATGCACTGGGACATGGCTCAATGACAATTATGTTATTTGATGCCTAATCTAAATGTGCAGAAATACACTTATATGGGGGACTACTTTTTCCTTTCAGCTTAGACCATCCGTGCCTATGGTACTTCCTGTAGTCCCCAAAATATGCGCCACATGTACCATGCATGACTTCATCTAAAAGCTTGTATCGAAATGCGGGTAAATTGTGGCCTATGTGGGAGGCTTGACATTACATTGACATGCAGAGGTGCAATAATATTCCTTGCATGCATGTCTTGTGCAATATTTTTCAAAATCAGATATGTGGCTCGTGAGACAATTGATGGTACATGATTTTATATATGGACAGCTTTGCTTGGCGTTTTATCATGCTTCTTAATGCATTGAGACATGGCTCAATGACAATTATGTGATTTGATGCCTAATCTAAATGTGCAGAAATATACTTATATAGGGACTGCCTTTTCCTTTCAGCTTAGACCATCCGTGCCTATGGTACTTCTTGGAGGCCCCAAAATATGCGCTAGTTGTATCATTCATGACTTCATCTAAAGCTTATATCGAAATGTGGGTAAATTGTGGCTTATGTGGGAGGCTTGCCATTGACATGCAGAGGTGCAATAATATTCCTTGCATGCATGTCTTGTGCAATATTTTTCAAAATCAGATATGTGGCTCGTGAGACGATTGATGGTAGTCGATATTTTATAGATGGTGTTGCATTAGCATTTTTTATGCTTCTCAATGCATTGGCACGTGGATCAATGACAATTATTTGATTTGGTGCCTAATCTAAATTTGCAAAAATATATTTTATGGGGGCTGCTTTTTATTTTCAGCTTATACTATCCATGCCTAAGTTGCTTCTTGTAGCCCCCCAAAATATGTTTTCATTTATCGCTCATTGCTTCATTTGAAGGCTTGCATGGAAATGTTTGGTAAATTGAGATCGATCCTTGGAGGCTTTAAATTGACATGCAGAGGTGCAATAATATTCCTTGCATGCATGTCTTGTGCGGTATTTTTCAAAATCGGATATGTGGCTTGCTAGACAGTTGACGGTACTTGATTTTATGTAGACGGCTTTGCTTTGGCATTTTATCATGCTTCTCAATGTACCAAGACAAGGCTCAATGACACTTTTGTGATTTGGTGCCTAATCTAAATGTGTAGAAATATATACAAGGACTACTTTTTCCTCTGAGCTTAGACTATTCGTGCCTATGCTGTGCCCCCAAAAATATATGCTGCATGTGTCACTCATGGCTTCATCTGAATGCTCGTATCAAAATGTGGGTGAATTGTGGCTTATGTGGGCGGCTTGACATTGACATGCAGCGGTGCAATAATATTCCTTACAGGCTTGTCTCGTGCAGCATTTTTCAAAATTTGATATGTGGCTTCCTAGACAATTGACAGTACATGATTTTATACGTAGACGGCTTTCCTTTGGCGTTTTATCATGCTTCTTAGTGCATTGGGACATGGGTCAATGACAATTATGTGATTTGATGCCTAATCTAAATGTGCAGAGATACACTTATATGGGGGACTACTTTTTCCTTTCAGCTTAGACCATCCGTGCCTATGGTACTTCCTGTAGTCCCCAAAATATGCGCCACATGTACCATGCATGACTTCATCTAAAAGCTTGTATCGAAATGCGGGTAAATTGTGGCCTATGTGGGAGGCTTGACATTACATTGACATGCAGAGGTGCAATAATATTCCTTGCATGCATGTCTTGTGCAATATTTTTCAAAATCAGATATGTGGCTCGTGAGACAATTGACGGTACTCGATTTTTTATAGATGGTGTTGCTTTAGTATTTTTTCATGCTTCTCAATGCACTGGGACATGGCTCAATGACAATTATGTGATTTGGTGCCTAATCTAAATTTGCAAAAATATCTTTTTATAGGGACTACTTTTTATTTTCAGCTTATACTATCCATGCCTAAGTTGCTTCTTGTAGTCCCCCAAAATGTGTGCTACATGTGTCATTCATGACTTCATCTAAGTGCTTGTATCGAAATGTGGGAAAATTGTGGCTTGTGTGGGAGGCTTGATATTGACATGTAGAGGTGCAATAATATACCTTAAATGCATATCTTTTGCGGTATTTTTCAAAGTCAGATATGTGGCTTGCTAGATGATTGATGATACTTGATTTTATATGGATGGCTTTGCTATGGCATTTTATCAATCTTCTCAATGTACTCAGACAAGGCTCAATAGCAATTTTGTTATTTGATGCCTAATCTAAATGTGCATTAATATATATTTATGGGGACTGATTTTTCTTTTCATATTAGACTATTTGTGGCTATGCTGCTTCTTGTAGGCCCCCAAAATATGCACTACATGTATCATTCATTGCTTCATCAGAATGCTTGTATTGAGCTATGGATAAATTGAGGCTTATCATGGAAGCTTGAAATTGATTTGCATAGCTGCAATAATATTCCTTAAATGCTTGTCTTGTGCGGTATCTATCAAAATCTGATATGTGGCTTGTTTGTAAAACTACATTACTTTGATTTTATTTGGATGGCTTTGCTTTGGTATTTTATCATGCTTCTTAATGCACTTGGACAAGACTTGATGAATATTATGTGATTTGATGCCTAATCTAAATTTGCAGAAATATTCTTTTATGGTGATTACTTTTTCGTTCCAGTTTGGACTATTTGTGCCTATGCTGCTTCTTGTAGTCCCCAAAAATATATGCTGCATGTATCATTCATGGCTTCATCTGAATGATGGTATCAAAATGTGGGTTAATTGTGGCATATTTGGGAGGTTTGAAATTGACTTTCAGAGGTGCAATAATATTCCTTACATGCATGTCTTGTGCCTTGTTTTTCAAAATCGGATATTTGGCTTGCTAGACAATTGATGGTATTTGATTATATATAGATGGCTTTGCTTCAGCATTTTATTGTGTTCTTAATGCAAGGCTCAATGACAATTTTGTCATTTGATACTTGATCTAAATGTGCAGAAATGTATTTTTATGGTGACTGCTTTTTCCATCTAGCTTAGACTATCTATGCCTATCATGCTCTGCTTGTAGTCCCCCAAAATATGTGCTTCATTTATCGTTCATTGTTTTATTTGAAGGGTTGTATAGAAATGTGGTTAAATTGAGATTGATCCATGGAGGCTTTAAATTGACATGCAGAGGTGCAATAATATTCCTTACATGCATGTCTTTTGTGGTATCTTTCAAAGTCGCTTGCTAGACAGTTGATGGTACTTGATTTTATATAGATGGCTTTGCTTTGGCATTTTCTCAGGCTTCTTAATGCATTCGGACAAGGCGCAATGACAATTTTGTGATTTGATGCCTATTCTAAATTTGCAGAAGTATATATTTATAGGGACTACTTTTTCCTTTCAGCTTAGAAAATTTGTGCCTATGCTGCTTCTTGTAGTCCTCTCAAAAATATGCTACATGTATAATTCATTGCTTCATCAGAATGCTTGTATTGAAATGTGGCTTGCTAGAGAAATGACGGTACTTCGTTTTTATTTTGATGGCTTTTCTTTGGGATTTGATTCCTTATCTAAAGATGCAGGAATATATTTTTTGGCGGATTACTTTGCTTTTACTCTTAGATTATACATGGATATTCTCTTGGTGGCCCCCAACATATAATCTATATTTATCTTTTGATGTTTGGTTTAAATGCTGATATGCTAATGTGGTATGTTGAGAATGATTTAGATGTTTGGGCTTGACTTATAGAGCTGTTTTAATGTTTTGACATTCATACCTTGAGTTCTATCAAAACGGGATGTGGTTCCTTAGAATAGTGACCAAGCTTTTGTTTGAACTTGAGGTTTTGGCTATGGAATACTCAATGCACTCTTGCTCAATTACAATTATATCATTTGATGGATAATCTGAATGCATAAATATATTTTTATCTGTTCGTGTGGTGCTTGTAACCCCCCAAACTATGTGCTATATGTATGCTTCTATGGAAATTTGTGTATATTGAGGCTGGTTTTGGAGGCTGGAAAATTGGCATGTTGAGCTGCAACAATATTCGTTACATGCACTTTAACCCTATCAAATATGGATGTACTTTTATTTGAGTTAGATGCTTTTTCTTTGATATCTAATCATGCTTCTTAATTCATTCCGACAAGTTTTAGTGACAATTATGTCATTTAATGTCCAATCCAAATGTGTAGAAATATATTTACAGTGGGTTAGTTTGCTTTTCAACTTAGACTATCCTTGTCTATCCTACTTATTGTCCCCTAGCATGTATGCTAAATATGTAACATTTGATGCTTGGTTTGAATACTCATGTAAATGTGGGTAAATTGAGGTTGATATGGAGACCTTTACTTGACAAAGCTGCCATTATTTTCCTTATATGCATGCCTTAAAGATATATTAGCATGGGTTTTGTATCATTTGTTAAAAATGATATTTCTTAAGCTCTACAGAATTCTTTCAAGGTGAAAATGAAATGCTATGCATCATTTCAACCATTTATAACTTATATTTCCTCCATGCTTTTGACTTCTGGGATAGTTTGGTTTGACAATCATGATTTTACTTGGATTCTTGTAATATGAATAAGTTGTAAAGAGGTGGATGATACACTGAGGATGACAGAAAAGCAATTCTTGTACAAATTCTAGATTTAGTTGCCTTTTGTCATCTCCAAGGAGTCATTCACTGTGATCTAAAACCTTTTTTTTTTTTTTTTTGCTTTTTTTTTGGTGAAGGTATATAATTACCTCTCCAATGTATTATTTGTCACCCTACACATTTTGCTTGTTCCACAGAATTTTCTTTTTGCCTCAAAAGGAGATGATTCTCTGATGAAGGTTGTGGATTTGGTCTATCGGGTTTTGTTAGACCAGGTAATAATTGATTTATCTATGGTAGCATCAATTACTATAACTTAGTACCTGTACCATATTTAAGTTGCTAATTGATTTTATGTTCACTTTAGCTTCATTTTTGGTATAAGAGGATGGTTTAACAAAAATGTTCAAACTGGTAGAGAAATGAGAATAACTAGTAAGTCATATATCCCACTGTACATTATTAAATATAATCAATGCCTTTTGATTTCTTAAGCTATTGGCAGGGATTGCTGGTATTGTGGTAGTTCTACCTTATGTTTTGTAATTCACGATTGTATTCTATGCAATGCTATTTTCCTCACAGGGCAGCCAATCTTCTGAGGAAATTATAATGGAAAATATGATGGAAAGTGCATATTTAAGATGACTGGATCCCAATCTTTTCATCGCCTCGAATATTGATGGTGTGAGTGTTCTAGCCCCTTTCTTTATTGGATATGACTGCTGATTTCCACTTCTTTGTTTCTCTTTTTCTGTTTACCAATTATTTCTATTTTGATTGTTAGGATGATCTTTCAAATGCTTTTTTAAGTTTGAGCCAACTGGATGGAGTCTTGTGATGTCAAAATTTGTATATTAGTTGTAAACCATACTTGCAAATGTCTATTTCTTCCCGAATGAGAATTCAATCCTAGGATTACTGGATTTTTGAATTAGTCATTTCTTACTACATCTTAGGATAATCAAATTCATGATGCTTGTTAATGGATGTCAAGATAGCATATACATCTTCAAGTTTTATTACTGTATTTGGTGTAGATTTTTTAAAAGTTGGCATATCTCTCTGCCATACTCTCGGTTGCCTTTGTTGGATGAACCAAAAGAGACCTTGGCTATTTTTACTTACTTTTAACCAAAAGAAATTTTTTATGGGAATTAACTAAAATTTTTTTACTTGCTACCATATTCATATGGTGTGTTTGGTATTAAACTGCCCCCGGGGTGGAGTTCTTTGATGCGAGTAATAGTGAGAAGTTGGAAATGGAGGAATGAAAATGGCAGTTGTATGTGAACTCATTTTGTCACACTTAACATACTTGGGCTGTTTTTCGTTCAAAAAAAAAAAAAACATACTTGGGCTGTTAATTGATTCAAAATCTGTTGTTTAAATTAGTTTGTGTTTTCTTTATTTTCATATTCTGTCTGATTGAGTTCAGTTTAGTTTGGCAACGTTCCTAAGGAATACCAAGTGGAAATTTTTGTTTATATTCACATGACTTAGGAAGTCATGTCATTCTGCACTTTGGGCATTGGAGGTATGGGTCAGTTATTAGATTCTCCATTATACAGGTTTACCTGTAGAGCATTTCTCACTGTTTTTTGACAGGTTCATCTCCAAGCATAGTTCTTAATTATTCTTTGTTTTGTATTGTCTCCTGATTTTAAAAACTTACTATTTACTTCTCATATTCATGCAGATAAACGCCTCAATGATATTGTTGGCTGTGCCTACTATGTTGCACCTGAAGTGCTCCATAGATCTTACAGTGTTGAAGCAGACTTATGGAGTATCGGAGTTATTACATACATATTGTTAAGTGGAAGTAGACTAAGAATCTTCTGGCTTGTGCTAAGAGCTAATCCTAACTTTGATGATTCACCTTGGCCATCAATATCACCAGAAGCTAAAGACTTTGTCAAGAGGCTTTTGAACAATGACCATAGAAAAAGGATGTCTGCTGCCCAAGCTCTAGGTATCTGTTAGAATGTTCTGCTCAGACCCTGGTTGACTTAATAATTGAATCTTTGCAATCAAAATGCTCTCTCTCACTCTCTCTCTCCCCCTCTCTCTCACACACCCACGCACACCCACACACATCCTGATTTGAGAAATGAAAAAGATGCCATTCCTTTAGACATTTCAATCTTCAAGTCTGTCAAGTCACTCATGTGTGGGCCTCACCTTTCAAACGACCAGCGCTGAAGGTAACGGCTATTAAACAAAAACACCTTATCGTGTTTTTTATGCATTAACGATGTAGGCTTTCTCAAAAGCATTGCCAGAAGATGAACTCATCTTTCTAAGAGTGCGATTTTTAATTTCTAATATTTAAAACATTTTAAAACCCAAAACTATATGTGTGTGTGTGTGTTCCTTTCATTCTCCCCACACTTTAGTTTCTACTTCCCCACTAACATCAATCGCTTCTGCTCTCTTCAACCTCATATGATGAATCATGCATTTTTCAACCCCATATACTCAGTGGTAGGTGAGAAATCTTTTAAATTTTTAGAATTACTCTGAGTTTTCCTGTGTTTTGTTTTTTCAATTCTTTTATCCGAGGATTGACCTTTTTGCTTTTGTTATCCATGAATGATACATGGCGATCTTTAATGTAAGTAGCCTACAATTAAGTCAATGCAGGATTTGGATGTGTCTTTTGTTGGGCTTTTGAGGTATATCCTTCCAAAAATTGGTTCCTAACAATGGGAAATTTCATCTTTGGCAGGGTGTCGTTTTCCACTAGGTTGGTTTTTGTCAACAATGGTTTTGCTTTCTGTTCCAAGGTTTATTTGTTTGGAAAAAAGGTGTACGAGGGAGGGAGAATTGCAAACAACTTTATCCAATTCCTGTTGGGTTTGGTGTTTTATATTGATGTTTATATTATTTCAATATGTCATCATCATTTGTAAGACTTACAACTTGAAGGCAGACAAATTTATCTGATGATAAATCTTTGTTGTTCTACCAAGGGTGGTTGATTTTTTTTTTTTTAAATCTCATATTACATTCTAATAAAAGCACGTAGTTTCATAAGTTTTCCTTTAATGTCTTCATTCTTTAACAGAAAATCACAATTTTTCTTTGCAGTGACCATTTCGTTCAAATTAACTTTTCTAATTGGAGATTTCGATGCCAAGAACTCATGTCTCTTGAGGTAAGGTTTTTGATTGCTTCTACTTTATTCTACAATCTATGGGCATGAATATGATTACCTTTCTCTTTTTCCAATTAAGGAATTAATTCAATAATTTTACCGCCCATATGTTTTTTTTATTAAAAAGGGCTGGAATTTGTTGAAGAATTACATAATGGAAGGCTTGTAAATGGTGTATAGAATTTGTTTGGAATTATATAAATGGATACCAAAGGAGTGAAAGATTTGGTTCTTCTGAAGGAAATTCTCACTACAGAGTATTACTCCAAATTCACCTTTATATCACCTTTTGTCTTCTAATACTAAAATTGTCTTTTGTTCCATGTTTTCCTGTGTTAAAATATTTGGGGGAAACTAGTTCTCTATTTGCCCTTATGTGTGGTTGTCACTCATGCTCAGTGCTGTGGATTGGTAGTTGGTAAATCCGGAAGATTTTATTCACTTACACCTGGTCATCATTGAGTGATTTTTCTTTTATGAATTTTGTGCATTCCAATCTTAAAGTTGATCATCTTATATTATATATTTTGCACTTCCTCACTAGCAACGTATCCCTTTCAAAATGAGGATAGGCCATTACAATTAGAGATCTTTCCTTGTAACTTTAATATCCAGCACTTTAGTAATTTTACTTGAATGGTTTATTATTTCTTGAGAACATTTGTGCTACCAATTTTTAATACAAATCCCTTCCTGTGCACAGTAGTTACTATTTTTCCTTGTAACTTTAATCGGGTGCTTTTCAAAACATTTTTTCATTAATTTTTTTTCCAACAATTTTGATTTTGATTGTTAAAATTATGATTTTTAATTTTGTTTAATATCCAGCACATTTTACACAAACTATTAAATTTTCTAGGATGTTACTCATTTTATGCTCTTTGTACTATAATTTTTTTTTTTGCTTATAAAGATGCACAATGATATTTCAATGCTCTCTCCCTGACAATATTAGCTATATGTAATATAGAATGTGACATTATATAGTATTATTTGTTGATGGATTGATCCTACAGTGGGGCTGTTAAATGGATGACATTATCAATTATCAACATGGAGATAACGAATTTAATTTTTATATTCCTTAAACGAAGCTATCAAAATTTAGTTGTTTATTGCTAATCACAAACATAATGGATATTTCGGTATTGATTGTAGGGTGGTATGTGATCTCACTGATTTGCCCTTATATAAAGATTGTAGGGAGATGCCCTTGTGCCAAAGTAGTCTCAATTTGTTAGCCCAGGTCGGGAGAAGCTCAATATCAGTTATGGAACTCCTATCATTTGGATAGGGGGAGATAATGGTCTAGGTAGGAGCTCTGGGCCTTTGGTCGGCCATAAACGAAGTTAAATGGTCTATTGAGCAATGCACATGTTGAACTTAGCTATAGATGAGAATTTTGTCATTAGGTATCTTGTATGCATACATTACTGCCTTGTATGTTCTTGTTTGAGAGTAACTAATTGGACCAGGTGATTGACCGGCTATAGATGCATTGTAACCTCAAATGTGATTATTGAGACTTTTTGTCTCATCTTTTTATCTTTTGCTTTTCAAGAGACACGCGTGAAGTTGTGGGAAGGGAATTAACGTAATGGAATTGAGCTTTATGAGAAGTACGATTCCTTCAAAATACGACTATGCTTGCTGCCATCCCTAAGAGCATATCCATTTATTTATTTTGGGATTATTTTAGCTTCTAGGTCTGTTGATAAGGAGATTTATTTGCCAGAGTGCTAGTTGTGTAGCTTGATTTTTCTTTTTATTCATTTTATTTATTTATTCTTATTTTTGTGTATGATGATTGTTAAAAGAGCGGAGTTCTATCTAGGTGCTTGCAAGAATGTTAAGAGTAGATGGAGCCTACATAGATTGTGTGATATATTTGTTCTGGGATTCACCTGTTATTTTGCAATAGGGATTGATTGTGTGTGTGTGTGTGTGTGTGGTTTGTTGGTTAAATCATTCCTTAATATGGTAGGTGTGCATAAGGGGAAGCTATTTTGATTAATTTATTGAGTTTTTGCCTTTTCTACTATGATAGCTTCTTATGATTGCTTGAAACTTTGCTACCATAATAGGGCTTTTATTAGAGGAATTATATCGATTCTTATATCATGGTGGCCATATGATTGTGCCCTTTTTATACCATGATAGCCTTAAGTGAATTCTTCTTTAATGGTAGTTTCTTTCTTTTCTGCTATGGCAAGGGATGGCCTAAGTGTAAGGTTGAGTTCATTTCATTTATGGTATCAAAGCCTCTCAATTCTAGAGGTTCTAATTGTTGTACTTGTATAAATAATGGTGGTAGTATGTTACAGCCCTTAAGCTCCTATTTTGTTTTTTTCCTCCCCTCTAACTAAGGGTAGTTGCATCATTAGGAAGAGGATAATGATGAATACACGACATCATCAGTATCACCATCGCTATTGTAGGACGATGCACTCCTTTAAGAAGTATGGGATGTGATTCTGGATATAAACCAGAGAGTTTGAAGGCATAATGAGATTCTTAGATCTCAAGATCATAAAACAATAGCAAGAGGACACAAGGATATCCTGATGGCTTAATTTGGGCAAGGGTCACATGGAGATCGGTTTAGGTGAGAGCAATGCTTGACCTCATGAGCTACTTGCCCTGGATATCTTAATGATTTAGAGGAGTTTTAGTTAGTTTAACCTTCTAACTTTTGATGAGAATCTTAAACCATTTGTCTAAGGTGTGGATCGATCACTTCGAGTCTTGATCATTATTTTCACCTTGGGAAAAAGGGTGTATTTAGCAGCAATGTTGCTGGAAATAAATGTGAAATGATAGTGGGGGAGCATGAGGCCAGCTGATGGCACTCTAATGTTTTTAGAAGAGTTCAAGTGTCGCTTCTTCTTTCATTACTTCTTAGAGGCACTGCAGGCTGAGGAAGAAGTAGAGTTTCATGCTTTTTAGTAAGAAAACCTGGATAAGAAGGCGTTTATAGCTAAGTTCTTGGAGTTGGCTAAGTATTCTACATACCCCTATAAGTATGATGATGATAAGTGGTAGGCAAAACAATTTTACGAGAGAGCCACGTAAGAGTTGAGATAGTAATTGACTTTTCTATTAGCCACCTCATTCTAGGAGATGTGCATGAGCATTCAAATTGCATCAAGATGGGCGAAAGATTTGCTTGGAGGCACCTTAGCACTTACGAGTGGAGGTGGAAAGTGAGATGACTTCAACTTCGCCTTAGGTTGAGTCAAGGATCATAAAGAGGTTTGACTGTACCTGTTCCCTTCAACCAGGCCAATATGGCTTTCATAGCCATGTGCAACACTTAAGGGAGGAGACACTAGGGTAGTCGTCATTCTTCCACAAGTATGGGAAGATAAAACACATCACTCAATTCTACATTGAGGTCTATTCTACTACACTGGTACTAAAGACAATTATATCTACCCGAGTATTTTGTCATTGCAAGGTTGCCCTTGCTAATAACCATTAATGCCAAAATCAAGTAATCATTGGGCTAATAGGATTAGTAAGTGTATAATATTTACAAAAATTCGAAATTCTAAGTTCTTATGAATTGAAATTACTTAAATATCATTCAGTAAACCAAAATTAGAGTACATTATAGATATGAAAGCATTTGATTTCTATATCAATTGAAAATTCATTTTGGCCCTAAATGAGAGATCTGTCATGGCGTGATGCTCCTGCTAATAGATTTGACAACCTTCGTTCATTGATTTCTCTACCTGTAGGGATGATAGGAACTTGGGAGTCTCTAAAATAATAATCGACAAGGACTTATTAGATTTAAGGGCAATAGTCATTGTTGTGTAAAGTGGTAGTGAGACTATTTTTTTATTACAATTAAGTTCGCTCTATTGATAGACAATTAGTCCATTCTCAGTATTACATCAACACCGCTCAAATGTAAACAAATCAAATCAATAGTTTTGGCTCTATCACCAAATTCTAACTCTAATTTCAGACAAGCCCGATTGGTTTTAATAGAGGCACCAACTGGTGTAGACATATTCATGAAAAACAATATTTCAAGGACATACAGATTTAACTTTTTTGCACACTTGCTAGAAATAGAAGAATGGGTGGTACTAGAATAAAACAAAGCATCTATTGGGTTATCACTTGGTGAAATTTTACCTTTAATCAACTTCAATGAAACTTTGGCCTCTTTCCTAGTCATGGTGAAGACTCGCTTGGGGATAGAAGGTCTATGATTTGGAGTAGGAACATTCTTTGAGCAATACTTGGATATGTGCCCAATCTTAGCACTTGAAGTAGGTCCAGGATTGCCCTTGATGTCTTCCACATTTATTACACTGTAGGGCTCTCGCTTGTCCAGTAGTAGATGGAGCCATAGATCTTTGCTGGGATGGTTGATTTCAGGCTTTACCCATACTTCTTCGGCCATTACTCCTTTGATTAGACCCTTTAGACTAAGGTCCCCTTCGGAAAGCTCTTCTTCCTACTTTCCCTAGCATTTGTGGTAAAACTTGACTTCTTGCTTACTCTACTTATAAGGCTTGTATATGATGAGAATTTGCCTTGACCATCCCTTTTCTTTTCCTCTATAGCTTTGCCCTTTCTGGCAATAGCTCTAAACTTGGTACACATAACTTCAAAGGAGGTAATATCGAAGGCAGCTAACTGTTGGCTGTATCTTGGCCTCATCTGACTGAGGAATAGCTTGGCCTTTTAGTGCTCATTATCATGAAGGCTTAGATACGGAGTATTTGGATAACTTATTAAATTTGACTATGAACTACTTTTCATTCATATTTGTTGGATATAGGCCTCTGCCTATATTGGGCTTAAACCCACTAATACACAAATTTAATTTTCCCTCTTGAGCTTGCAATGTTAACTTTCTTTTTAGGTTATGTAATTAGTTATTATTATTATTAGTTTTATTTCATAAGAGAGAGTTTAGGGATCTGATTAGATTTATTCTCTCTCCCCTTCATCTATATATGTAAATCGTGATTTATTAA